TATGATGTTATATTATTTATGTTATATTACATTATGTTATATTATGTTATAGTGCAGTGTACAGTGTAGTATAGTATAGTATAGTATAGTATAGTATAGTATAGTATAGTAGAGTATATATAACCCCAAACCGTGTGGAGAGCAAGACTGGGCTGACAGGTCGAGGAAAGCGACGACGAGGCGCTTCTCCCAGCGGTAATTTGTGCTAAACAGCTGCTCTCAGGTCCATTGAGATGTAGAGTGGATCTGGAAGAAGCCCTCGACAATTTCTGGAGTTGCCAGAAAACAGTAACCCCTATTGTGTATCCGTCATGGTAACCCTCGTAAGGGTCCGAGTCAGCAACTCCGAGGAGAATGTCGAGGATTTCCGAGCGCCGACGGAATTGGAGCATTGACAAACTTTTAGTTTAAGTCATGATCGCAGTCTGCGTGCTACCCACGACTACTGCTCCCTGCTGCTGCTGCTGCTGCTGCTGTCACTTCCCCTCCCGCAACCCCTGCGACGACGTTGCCTGCTTACTATGCGAATTCGGCCTCCTAGCATAGCCAGGGTAGCTACAAGTTCAAGACAAACAAGAGCGTCGAAAGTAAGACAGCTCACGATCCGAAAGCTTATCAACCTTGGCAATAGCTGTAACGCAGTCAGACAGCACTTAAAGGCTCAACAATGCTAATTTCAGAACATGTGCATCCTAGGCTCAGGCCTGAGTGTCTGTTGGCTGACTAGACTGACTAGACCAACGTTATGACATTGTCAACATTGGAATCAGTGTCATCTCCACTGGTTCTGGTCTTGATGCGAGTAGTACAGTACGAGCAACATGTAGAAGAATCATGCATACTTGTAGTATCGTCGTGGTGACTAAAGCGGCAGAAAGTGTGCAGACTGGTCAACATGACGACAGTTATTCGAGTACGAGCAACCGTCATCAGCATCATCACCGTCGTACCTGTCATGTCCATGGCCATCATCAGTCGTTCGCCAAGCCAAAGTATTCAGAGTCCATAGCCCATGGGCCCCCGAACCACAAACCCCAACCAAGCCCAAGCACCACCAAGCTCTAAAGCCGCCCTCGGAAAGAGAAACGGCAAATTCCAAGCTTGGAAATCTCTTTCCAACACCCAGGCCCAGCCCACGGTGGAGGCCACCTTCGGGGTTTTCTGCCGCAGAACCTGAGACCGGAATCCTCATGAAAGACAAGCTGGCAAGTGTTGCCTATGCTTGTCACATCAGTTGCCGATCGGTCCAGTTATGTCGCAACATGCCTGTGAACCTGTCTTTCTGCCTGTTATCTCCCCGAATCACGCCACAGACGTCATTCGTTTGGATCATCCAGAGACGAGAATCCATCCTTCTCCAAGCCTTGCATTGATGCCTCCTAGACTCAGATGCTCTCGTGCTAGACTCAGATGATTTAATAATCAGAATAGGGTTCCCATTCTAATTATTGTTATGATTACTATTGTTATTATTAGTATCTCCAGCACTTCTTAAGACTCGGATGATCCTCCCTGTCGCAGTCCATGCCATCCGATTCGTCCTTCGGAAGTGACGCCGACCTGCTCGTCACCAAGGCCCCGGATATGACGGCAAGTGGGGCAGAGCATAGGGTTTCCAGTGCAAGTCACCATCCATGGCCACATGACCTTGCAATCTATGCGGTCTCACCAGACTTTCGACAGAGCGTCAGTGCTTCTTTGCTCCAGTCGCCACTGCGTCTTAGCTTTCCAAGCCTGCGCTCCCAAATGGGCAAGACCTGAAAACGGAAGCCCAAATCCGATCACCGTAATACCGTAACTCCCTAGCGCAATGTGCGAAAGCACGCTTCAGTGGGGTGGAGGTGGGCTCGAACTACAGCGACGAGGCGGACAAGGCCGTGGAGTGTTTCTTTCTTTGCTATCAGTGCCTGCTGCTCATGGTTAAGGGTTGCGGTTCAGAGCCTTCCGTTCCGCAAAGCTCGGCTAGGTTTCAGGAGGACCCGCGGGACTGTAGACTGTAGAGAGCCTTGAGCACTCCGCAAGCTGATTTCAACCACCGCACGTGGCTTGGGCTTTAAGGCTTTGAGTTCAGGGAAAATTGGCCGAATTGCACAGCGAGTCCGATAAACTGTACGGGATGGCAGTTATGGTTTGATGGGGAAGGCCACAGCACAATATCCCTGGACCTCGAGAGCAGGATGCCTTGTTCCGACGTGTCTTAGTGCAAATGCCACTGAAACTCACAACCCTGGAGCCCAAAGCAATTGAACGCAATGCCCACTCGAGAAAAACTCTTGTAGTGGTTCTCCTAGGTAGTATTAGGGAGACCCCTTAAAGGGGACCCTTCTGAACCCTACTGGTGGCTCTCTTAAAGGGGACCTTACTGAGAGGGTCTATATTCCCAAGGGTCCCCCTAATCCTAACTCCCAGGTTTGTAACTACGAAACTAGGTCGGGTCTGCTCTGAACTGCGGAGCCTTTCCAGAGTCCTTGTTGGACTAGAATGACGCCCCGTCGACCTCGGAACATGCAGGGGCCCAAAAAAGTGCCGGTACTATCTTGGGGTTCCTGACTGGCTTATAGTCTAATCTACCCCCCAAAGCCCGCCTTCAAATTATTGAAGACTTCCTAACATCACTTCAAAAAAACATCCTCCAGGTATCCAGGCTTCCGGCTCTGCGAACCGCTCTGAAGTCCGGGCATCGTCGAGCTGGGTCCCCATGAGGATTCAGGGGTCCTGTCCTGTCTTGGGGGGTGCTTTTGGCTACTCTGTTGTGTCTGCTTTAGCGTCCCATTCTTTATGACGACAGCATGTGTTGGGTCGTTCAAAGCTTTGGAGTTTCAGGGTTTCGGCTTTTATGGTCGTCGGTTTGGGGGTCTCAAGGTTTCGGGCTTCAGGCCAAGTCCAAGAAGAGCCCGCCACGAACATGTCAGAAAAGAATAGGTCACTAGGGTCCCGCCCAACAACGTCGGCTTCCGAACAAAGAGAATTCCAGGATCCTGAAGGCGGTATTCCGACCTCCCCAGAATCTCAGTGGAAACACTCCGTCCGTCCAGCCACCGATCATCCTGCCCGGCCCAGATTTGGACCGAGACAGGGCTTCGTGTCCCTGACAAAGAAATGCTCAAGGTCTGCTGTGCAGCGCTTTGTGTGGAATTCTGTGGATAAGCGCTCGGCTTTGAGATACTGTCTTGTTGTGGCAATCTGAAAGTAAGCCAGTAAGCCAAAGATAAAAGCCGTCGAGCATGAGCATCTGCGCATACGTACGCAGTCGGACATGTGTGCTGCATCAACGCATGAGGCAGCCGCTTGCATGTTCGCTTCAGCCAGCTATGGGCATCTTCTCCTACATACGGACGTGCATGCGAGTAAGCAGACCGCATCCAGCTAGTGTCTCTACGCCGTGCAGCATGCCACTACAATCATGCCAGTTCCCGCCTACCGTTCCCTCGGCATCGTGTCGCAATGTCATTCTGGGTTGATTTCATCAATGTCTTAAACACCATGGCTGCTGTTGTGAAAAACCCCCGATCCCTGCTGAAGCTCATGTGTCTATTGACACACCATGCTCACAAACCTAAAAAACCCTAAACTAAACAGCAGGCAGCGGAGAGCTGATGGCAGCTCGCCTATCTTAGTGTCTTAGTGAGCTCTCGCCAAGTGGTGGCAGCCAAGGCTGCAAAAGCAGCCCTACTGGCGACCAGGGTGGTCCGTTTTAGACGTCTGCAAGAAAGAATGACGAACTAGAGTATGTGGGACCTTGTCTATCCGACTCTATCCGTCTGAAAAGGAAGACCCTGATGGTGACCACATGCGCGGTCCGCGGTCCCCGAGCCCCGAGACGGGGTTGCATCCTCAAAGAGGTGCTCGTTCGTTCGCTGAGATATGCGGTTTAATTGCGCGACAAAAGGGCATGCCAGCCTGCATGGAGGATGTAATCGAATTGTGGAGGATCGCAGCTGGCTGTTTCATTTCCAGAAACCGGAGGCGTATGCTCAAAGCAAGCCCATTGACGCCACTATCAACCTCGAATATGTACCCGAATGCGGAGCCCTACTAAACCCGAAACCCAGCCTTCCCAAGCCCCTAACCCTAATCCCCCAGCTATTGCAGTTCCCTGAAAGTCGCCCCCACCCCCAGGGTCGAAATCTCAAGACGTGCGTCGCCGCGCCTGTGGCATGGGCCTATGAGCGAGGCACCAGGGCTGTAGTGTGAACAGGTATTTGGGTAGAGGGTAGCTGACAGATGGCACATGCTATATAGTTTGTGATATATCGCATATGACATGTGGCTTATGATATATGCATTACATGTCATGCTATATATGACATATAATGTAAGGTGGAGGGTAGATGATACATGTAGTATGGTCTTCCTGATATGACACTTGGTATATGATATACGATGTACGGTATGCGAAAAAAGACTTCTGGCATAGGGCGTGTGATCTATGGCTTATGTATGATACATTATACGGTGTGCTTTATGTCATGTGTTGTATGACTTGTCATCCATGTCTTGGTGTATGGCACGTGACATCATTGTATACGGTGTATGATACGGTTGATACGTGATTTCTGATATATGATCCATGGTGCTTTATGTACATACATGCATTGATATAGGTATGTCTATATGTCTGATGTGTATCCACGCACAGACACAGGTACAACGTGCAGATGGGCGGGTGTATGCGTGTACACGTTAAGGTTTGGTGGTTCAGGGTTCAGGGCTTGTCCGGGCTTGACGGCTTTACGCGTGAAACTTCACTTCAAAAGCCAGAAGCCCCGACCATTGAGAGAGCCAACACTGAAATGCCTCTATGCTGCTCGACAGCAACAGAGAGACATCAGCTTACGAACAGCATGACGTTGCATGTCTCCAAAATCTAATGAATTCAAGTTGCATGTCTCCAAACTCTAATGAATTCGCTGTGGAAAAGCCGTGGCCTCCGAGAGCCTTGCTCAGGTCTTAGATGAGAAACTCGCGGCGTCGCTTTCTGGGCTTCGCCGTCACGTCGGATGGTCGTGCCTGATATGAAGGGTATGTGGGGTTCGATGATTCAGGGTCCAGTCCCGACAAAAAGAGCTCAGCAATAATTTCTGGTTGCTTCTAGTGCCTGATGCTGACGCACACGTGCCTGCATGAGCGACCACCGTCACCGTATCACCAATCAACCAACTGGCAAACTCTTTAAAGAGTAACAGTGTCGGTAGGAACTGCTTGTTTGGCTCAGGTTTGCCTAAACTGCGGCAAGCGGCCCGAGTTTCGGTGCGCAGGTTGCGGCGTTGCAAGATTTTGCTGCCAGGTGCGCTGCAGCCCACACCACGGTTTGCTTCGGCCATGTGCTTTTCCTTCTTGTCCTTGTTTCAATAAACCGGAGGTAAAGAAAGGAAGTGCGTGAACGCTTTAATGTGTAGAACCAATGGAGGGCCGGGAACGACGGCATTTGGTTCTTTATTGAAAGCACCGAACGGACGAAACAATCAAAACAGGGAAGCGTACCAAAATGAGCAAATGAACTCGTGCATCTGTTGTTTCTTTATTCGCTACGTTAACTACATTCTCTTCACTTAAGATGAAACCATGCCAAACGCATGCTGGTATGTAAATCTGGCAGATGTCAGCTCTACATCACATGGATGTATACATGAACTCGCAAAACTGCTCCGGTCTGAAGTTACTTGGAGGTTCATGGGTAGTCATAAGTGGGGCTATAAGTAGGGTAACTATCCATATTAGGGGACTTTTAATCTTACTTATAACTACCCTTGAACCTCCAAGTAAGGATCCAAAAAGGAATGCAGGAGTTGGGTATTGCCAAGAAGCTCTTGCAAGGCCTGTCAGCGGGCTTGCTGGAAAGGACACCGCCCACACTGCGGCCTGCCCAGCAAGCCGTTGCCTTTAGTCACTAATAGTCTAGTTGCACATATAGATATACATACATACATATGTAGAGGGAGAGAGAGTGAGAGATAGAGAGAGAGAGAGAGATTAAGTCTATTTTAGGGCATTGTGCAGCGGCTCAGTGGTTTGGCTGGATGGCCTTATTGCCGGTGTTTTCCTCCACAAGGCTCTTGTGAAATTTCGGCTTCTTCCCATCCCGGGAAGGTTTTCGAAAGCCAGGCCAGTGCCCCGACAAGGACTGTGAAGAGGACGAGCCTGATATTCTGAGGCCAGACGTGATGTAGGGCTTTGGAAGTCAGAGCTGGACAATAGAAACGGTTGAGCCTGTATAGTCATGATGAGTACGTTAGTTTTGCTTGCAGCGTTTTCGTGATTTTTCAGTAAAATCTACTGATTATCTCGAGGATGATGTTGTCGTCTTGGTTTCCCTAAGATTGTTGCATAGTGTATAATATATAACCTATAGTATCGAATGTTCAGTATTTAACATGTAATATTCACGATATAGTATCAAACTTGTAGTATGTGTATATAGTATTAGAGGAATATGTTAGGTCTACAGCAGTGTATAACATTGTACATAGTATGCTCAGTATTCGCTATGTAAGACACAGTACGCAATCTATTTTTCATGTTGTCCTGCTTCCTTGCCCAGGTGGCAGTGCGCCAGACCTGACAGCCAAGGACCTGGTGGAGAATGTGCCTGAGGCACGAGCTATATTTGGTATAATTTGTTGTATTGTATGTGTGACAATATTAGATGTATATATATATATATGTTGTATACTGGGTAGGATCACTACAGCCGTCGCGGTGATGATGGTGTTCATGAAGGGACCAGTAACAACGACCCGAAACATCAGGAGCAACAGCAACACTGTTACGAGCAGCAAGAGCAATATGGGCAACAGCGCAGCACTATGGAATCCGAGTCAACATCGATCATCAGACAGAGGCAGATGATCTCCATTAGCGCAACACAAAACCACACCATGTCTGCTGCTTCTGTTAACTTCTCTGCGACCAAGGCTGCTGTTACTGGTTGATTGCAGCAGCCGCAATAGGACTAGGCAGTACCGTTCTGGTCGTCATGGCCAGTGGCCTGCGGGGCTTGGCATTTAACACCCCACCCCGCAAACACCGGCCCAAGGCCCAAGACGGTCATTTCTTTCGACAGGCCTTCGCATCAGCCTGGCCGGAAGAGGCACGCTGCAACAGAGAAGAAAACGTCCCAAGTCAACTTCATCAGTCTTGAAACCTGAATTGCCATGTCGGGTGTAAAGCACGCGGCCATCCTGCATGATTTGCAAGAGCAGTTGCTCACACTGCGCCGGGCTGCCTGGCCTTTTGATGTGATAGCCGATGCAATGCCAAGATTGAGATTGCATCAGTGTGACGACGATAGCCGGGACAGCGGGAAAGTGACGATGACAACGGGGACAATTCTGATATTGCTCATGATGTTGATTTTGGTGGCTATCCAAAAAAGCACCAACATCGCCACCATCCTCGACAAACACACCCAGCATTATTGTCATGGTCGTTATCCTCCGTATCATCATAGTCACCACCAGCAATCATTGTCATTATTGATTCGCGTCATTATCGCCAGCATCACTGTCACGCTTGTCCTCACAAACACCAGTGGCATCATCGCCGCATATCGCTGACCGTAGTCTGGTCGTTGCGAATATAGTTACCACCCAACAGGCGCCCTCTTCTTAATGTTGCACTTCTTGTTGCGGTCGTCTTCGCATTCGTGATAGCCTTGATCGCCGCCGTCCCGCGGCAGTCCTCGTCGTGGTGGTGGTGGTGGTGGTGGTGGTAGTCGTCGAACTAGTAGTGGCAGCAGTAGCAGTAGTAGCAGTGCCGTTGTGAGTGTTGATCGTGGCTTCGACAAAGCATCGGCGTAGTCAGGCGAAAGTTAGCCCAGCTTCTGCAGGAGCTGGAGCACACCCCAGGCACGATGTAGGCAAGATGCCACGACCAGGAGCAGCTGAGCGACGCGCTGCTTTTGGCGCAGCTGCTGAAAGCGCTTGGTGTTTGCAAGGAGATGCAGTGCTTCGTCAACTGCTCACAGGTCACTAGGTCAAAGGGTCAGTCAAGCCTGTGCAAGGGACATTCAGAAGGACTTCCCTTCGAACGTCCTTGCATGTCCAGCACGGCGAGTGGGTGTTTTCATGTCGAGCACAAGTCCTAAAACCGTACATGCCTAAGAAGAAGCCCTACGCTCCAAAGTGTTGCCGGTCTTGGCTAGGACGGGCGCATCCTTGGCCAGCAGCCTTTGCTCGAAACAGAGGCCCTCACGTGGTAGAATATGGCATCACATAGTAGATGATAGCAGAATATCTAGCAAAATGTAGTATTCTTGCCGAACAGAACGCTAGAATCTACTATATGCCGCAACTAGTATGAGGTGGCGAGAGCCCTGAACAAGCCCCTAGCACCGCCCTAACTAGCCCTTAAGACACTCAACATGGTGCCCTCAACCCAGAGAGGCCTCTGAAACTCTAGACCCCTAAACCCCTAAACCCCTGAACCCCTGAACCCCTGCAAAGCCTCAACCCTAAACCCTAAACCTAAACCCGTAAACCCCCTGAACCACCAAAAAACCCCTTAAAAACCCACAAAGAAACCCAATCCCTGCAGCTTTGGGAGCACATCACGAAATCCCGCCGCGGCCTCGCTGCCCTTCTCTTCGGGCGGAACTGTCGCTGGGCCAGGGCTACCATAGAGTATAGTCCAGTTGAGCAAAGTAGAGTACAGTATAGTATAGTACAGCAGAGTGTAGTGTAGTAGAGTATAGTATAGTATCGTATACTATAGTATAGTATAGTACAGCAGAGTAGGGTGTATGGTATAGTGTGGTAGGGTATGGTATAGTATCAAGGATTGCAGTAGAGAGTATTCCTTTCGAGCGGCTGAAGCAATAACTTCCATCCGAGGCTGACGCTGACAGGACTGCTGACACCACTCCTGCCGATGCTAGCGAGAGTCATGATGCTCACGTTATTCTGACGAACATGTTTAAAGTTTCTGTTGGCTGAAGGTCAGGAATTCGTAAGGTAAAGGCTACGGCCCCGAAGGGCCCCGAAGGAGTCGGTTTAGGGTTTAGGGCCTTCCATCGAGGCTTCCGCACTTCGCTGCTGCCAGCGGTGCGCGCTCTCAGTGCATTGGGGCAGTGGCCGCTACTGCTGAGTGCCAGGTGCCTAGGCCCGAGCCAACTACTGAACCCGAAAGCCCCGAGCCCTAACATGTCATGTTGCCAGCTTTTTTGTTCAGGGTGCCCGGGGTGCATCGAGTTGATAGTTTAGAGTTGAGAGGCCCTGAAGCCTCATGGTGTCATAGCCCGACCCTTTGCATGAGCAGCGCGGTCAGATAAACTCGCCTCGGTAGTACCAGCACTGCAGGAAACGGCAGCTGTGGCAGGCATAGAGTATAGAGACAATAGAAGGCAGTAAGCCAGCAAGCAGTTCCTAATCCCAAAACACACAACGCCTTGCGGCATCAAATCCTGGGACTCCGACGAACCCTGAAATGCTGCAGCTCGCATGCAAGCCCTGCGACCCTGGAACTTCATAAAGCAGTATCGCAGCAGTCCCGCCGCAGCAGCAGCAGTTAACCGGCCGCCCAACTTGACTGATTGTATTGGTGTTCCCCTTACACGCTCCTGAAAGGGGAACGTAAAAGCATGATGACGCAAGCGGATCAACTCAACAGGGTTCAGCCTGCATCATCCTTGCAGGTTCATGGGTAGTTATATACCCCTAATATGGATAGTTACCCTACTTATATCCCCACTTATAACTACCCATGAACCTGTAAAAGTATAGGGTGTTGTGAGTGGGTCGCATCTTGGGTTCAACTTGCTTGAGGCCGCAAGGGCACGTGACCGAACTCCCAACGCTGGACCGGGAATCTGCTGTCACCGTTGTGTCTTCAAGCTCAGGAGCCCTTTATTGGGGCATCTGTAGATGGCAGTTTCATGTTACATACATGGCCCACGCTAGCAGGAGACAAGCCAGGGTTTTTAACCGACCTGATGATGGTGTAGGGTTCCTGTCCGTGTTGCAGGAGCTTTGCGCCACGCTGGCCTGGCGCGTGCTTGGCGCCGCACGGCGTGTGCGTGCCAAGGCGCGGGTCTCTGTGGCTTCCGAGCCGCCCGAGCCCTCGAGCCGGAAGTCCCGCCAGCCATAAAGTAGGGGCCTTAATAGTTAGAGTAGGGCTTTAGTTTTGGGGGTTCCTTATTATTGTTATAGTAGAATTATACCCCCAAACCCTATTCTAATTACTAAGGCCCCTACATTATTCATATGTTGCTAGCTTAACACAGGGCCACAAGGCCACATGCAGTGGTGCTCAGCTGCAAACGTCCACTGAAGACGCTGCTCGGCTTCAGATTTCAGATCGCAGGTGTAAAGGCCGTTGCTTAGGAGCCATGCTGGCCAGCTGCTAATATAGGGGCCTTAATAATTAGAATAGGGTTTTGGGGCCCATTGTACTATAGTTATTATAAGGAACCCCCCAAAATAGTACCGGTAATTATTTAGGCCCTACAGTAGGCTTGAATGGGGCTGCTTGGGATGGTCTTTCTGAGTCTGAGGACAATCCAATATACGGATGCCGTAGCAACAGTATTTGGCACGGTTCACTGAAATACATCATTATGGAACCATATAGCCAACATGCTTGTTCTGTTTGTTTAGGCCCGGAATTGAACTGTCCTTTTTGCTGGCACTCGCTGAGTTCGGCAGCAAGAGCGGAGAAGCTGTTCTGAGTTGTGCTTCGGCCAGCGCGAAATATGCAAAGGTCAAACCAAGACCATCAATGCTTTCATACAGCAGCTTGGTGTTTTCGTTCATTTGTCCGTGTGTGTCGTTCTGCCCATGGGTTGCATCCATCAAATTCCTCGCGCTGCTCCAGGGCCATCGGCGCTTGATCTTTCTCGGAATTGGCTCAGGCACGCTTATGAACCGCTTATGGGGTTTAGGGTTCAGGGTTTAGGGCTTAGGGCTCCAGTAAGCTGTGGTTCCCGTGCAGTTGTCCATCATGGTATATACTACTGGTATCTAATGGAAGCCCGTATAACTGATATATGACGCATGTTAAACGGTCACTGCATCGACTCTGCAACGACTGTAGACTCTGACAAGCACGCTCCTGATTGACGCTTCGAGCTTCCTGCTGCAATACGATTGCCGTTCGTAACAGCGAGTAGTGAGTGGTGGTGGTGGTGGTGGTGGTAGTTGTCGTCGTCGTCGTCGTCGTAGTAGTAGTAGTAGCAGCAGCAGTAGTCGTCGTTCTCCTTCTCCTCCTCCTCCTCCTCCTTGTCCTCGTCCTGTGGTGGTGGCGGTGGCAGTGGTCGTGGTGGTGCTGGTGCTGGTGCTGGTGCTGGTGCTGGTGCTGGTGCTGGTGCTGGTGCTGGTGCCGGCAGCAGCAGCCATGTTGGCAATAGTGGTAGAAGCATTAGCAGCATCGTGTCAGTCTTGATTGTGCAATGGAAGGTGACTCCTTGGTTGAGGCTTCGGTGACGCTTCACTTGGCCGCAACTCAGCGAAAAAAACTGAAGACATAGATAGGTTCTACTCGGGAGGACCCGCATGGATTCTCAAGTAGGCTCATATGTCCGGCTTGATTTGATCCAAAATTATGGATGCATTCGAGTATGACCAGAAGTATTCTCCTACCAGTCAATGCCTAGGATCTACAGACCTATGCCTACATACGTACATCTGCGCACATATGTCTGTGTGTATATATAGAAATATATACAAGGATATACATATACATATACATATATATATATACATATACACACACACACATATACTCGCGTGCATTCACAGCTGCATGTACATCTACATGTACGTGTGCATATAGGTATATACACATACACATGCACGTATTTGTGTATTGTAGGTGTCTCTTGTTTTTGCACTTTTCCTAGGGTTGGGGGTCGGTAGTTTACGGCCCAGCTCTCACCCGAGCCGTTGTTGATTGAAAATTTTCCCGGCTTTCGTGTGCTCCTCCGGAGTCTGTTCGCGTGACGGCTTATTCTTTGGAGCTCCTTCTCATCTCAGGCTGCACTTGGTGTCACACCCGACCTTGAGAAGGCACGCTGCGAGCTTACACCCGCACCTTTCATCATTTTTGTTGCAGCTTCCATCCGTTAACCAGCAGCTCTGTCACTCGCAGCTCGTGGCTCCCCCCTCAAATAAGAAGAAGACGTCGCTTGCAACAGTGTTGCCGGCACGCGCGTTGAGCTTAGATGCTCGAGTCTTCTAAAGCTTTGCCTCTTCAGGGGTCCCCACTGAGCTTACCCTGGGACGACTTCGAGATCACGGCCAGAACCTAAGCCTGTCAAGTTAGCAAGTCAGAGCGGCAGCAAGGTTGCGCGTGGCGCTCATGTTGTAAACTCGCTGAAAGGTCGTTACCACTGACAGTGCGGACGATGAGGACAGCTTGTTGTCTTTAGCACGTTTTCGTCAACGGATGCTTTTCCACCGACAGTACTTGTATGTACGGCCCTACGCCCTGAAACCCCTAAACCCTAAGCCCTAAACCCTTTTACCGACACCGGAACATCTTGAATCTCAATCTGAGCTCCTGAGCCTTCAAGGAAGAGCTTAACATGAAGGTCCAGGCTTTCCCGTCCTAAAATCCCACCTCCCGGGTCCTCGGAAGCTTTCAACGCCCGAAAGTTCACTTCGTTTTGCGGGCCACCCGAGGACTTGCGCTTGAACCGCATCGCCGAGGCCGGCTGCGGCCTTCCGGGAGGGCGAATCCAACATCCCAGTGCTTGGGGAATCATCTTATATTATTATATGATATGATATTATATTATACTATTCTAGATTATATTATACTATATTATATGATATGATTACCTTTTTCTGAATGCCTTGGTGGGCCTGGCTGGTCAGATAGACGGAAATGAAGTCTAATGGGACTGGTACGAGTAGGGCATCTAGTGACAGTCTAGTGAATGTGAGGTGTAAGAGTGGAGACTGTAACAGTAGTCGGAACAACTCTATCATTCTTCTTGTAGCTATTGGCTGAAATAACGTGGTTGTAATCAGGATTCGTTCTATGTGACGATCTTAAATAAATAGCGTGGTCGTAATCAGTATTCGTTCAATGTGGCGATCTTCCTGCTCCTCTCCCTCCTCCTCCTCCTCCTCCTCCTCCTCAGTCCTGCTACTAGTACTACGACGACGACGACGACAACGACGACGACTGCTACTATTGCCACGACCACTACGACGACTGCTTCTACTGTTATCGTCATCATAATCCTCTTCTTCTTCTTCTTCATTCTCATCGTCGTCGTCATCATCATCATCATTCGGCCTGACTAGTGCGGCTTCATGCTACTGCTGCTGTGAGCGCTACCATCCTGTTGCTGGTTGTCCTCAGGCCGTGGGCCACAAATCTCGAAACCCTGCCCCAAACAGACCTCAAGCCCGTTGGAAAACCCATGCGCCCTGGGAAATCTCTGAGAACATTTAACAAAACGCTTTCATAAACTCTCCTAAACACTCACAACCGAGACCAAACCCAACGCCTTTATGTAACTCTAAAACCCCGTAGATAAAGGAGCCTCAACCCTAAACCCCCCAAAAAGAACCCTAAGCCCCAAACCTTAAACCCTCTAAACCCCTTCAAAGGAGCCTAAGCCCTATAAACCCCTTTGAAGGAGCCTAAACCCTC